AGACTGTCACGTGCAGTTCTGATGAGCAAAATTTGCACTGATAAGAATTTGTGCCTATTTTTAAGGGATACAGTAACAGTTCTGCTAGATTTAACCGCAATAATGTTTTTTTTCCTCCAGGTTTCAAGTGACTTGCATTAAACAAAGTGTGAGTTAAAAATCAGAATGACCTTTTTTGTCACTGCTGAAAAGTTTTGTTTGAATCTTGTGTTTCCAATATGGCATTTATCCCGTCCCTCAGGACTGCTTATCACATCACACAGGATGAAATATTGATACGACAAACACTCATCTCAGCCACTATGAAAAAATGATGAAATAGAAAAAAAAACTCTGATCAAGCCCAACTGAGCCTTTACATTTCCTGTAATGGACTATCTTGCTTCTGCAATTTCCAAGTCAGTGGCGGCTATTTTTCATACTGCAGCAGTGAATGGGCAGCAAATAGTTTCCTGTGATGGGAGGAAAACACATCCTGCCGTTCCCAGCTACAGTAACGGTGTGCAAACACCAGCAGAAATAATGGAAAAGGAGATGGCTAACACAGACTGCTGGCACAAACTTAATAAGACACCAGTCAATCCTTTAAGCCTCTTCGCGTTAACATTTGATACCTTGTGATTGAGTTTCTGTTGCCATTAATGAAACAAAAACAGATTATTTGTGCCCGCAGACACAAAATGTTTCGCGTGTCAGCTTCCTGCTTCTTCTCTGACAGACATCATGTCTGGTTTAGAAAGAGTCACGATGATCCCAGAAATAATAGCGACACAACCTTTTTATGCTGCTCGTCTTCATTTGACTTTAATGAATCATAGCAGGCATCTGGTGCATTTTAGCCTATTTACTACGAGTCACATTTACTTTATATCACATTTGCAAACTTTCAGCTCTTTGAAAAACCAGAGCGTTTTCTATTTATTAGTGGATATAGTCTCAGACCTTTGGTACAGATGACATTTAGACTGAGTAGTGTATTTTATTGCAATCTCGTTTTTGAAAGTATTTAAAAAGCACTCTCTTCTCCTTGATCTCCTTGGCCTTTGCCTGCTGCAGTTTCTGGATTTATTCATTGAAGGTTTACTAATTAATAACAGTTTTAGTTTTGTGAACTGTCTTTGTAGGTCGAATGCAATCTGGAATTTAAATGCACTCTTCTCAGTTTTTCTAAAGATAAACAAAGAACTAAAAGCCCACATAAAATAACAGAAGCCATTATAAAAGCACAAACAGATTAAAAAATGAAATAACTCATTTAGAATGATTATTAGAAACATGATTCATTTTCTTATTTTTTTTTTTTGTATTGACTTCTTTTTTTGTATATTTTCATCCATTTATCATCCAGCAGTTTTTTTTCCTGCTGGGAAGTCTTGGCTTGTCTCATGCCCTGTAAAATATTCATGAAATTCAATTATTTTATATCCTTAGTAATGCTCATGCAAACAAACAAATTAACAAATTGCTGTGCATGTGTTTTAAAATCTGATCTGTACTTAGGCTAATCTCTATTAGCGCACAACGATGAGGTAACTTTGACAAACATTAATGCTGATGAATAGGCCCATTAAAGCATTAGTCAGACAATTGATTTTCATATTTTTGCAATAAGAATGGAGAATAATGCCCATCTGGAATGATGTGAATAAAAATATAACGTTAGACAAAATATATACCTTCAATTTCAAAATAGTTAAAAGCTTTTAAACAAACTGGTGTTAAGCTTTTAAATGTGCGCCTGCTAACAATAACAGCAGCCTAATTGTGTGAACATGTTTCTTTCGTGCACATTCCTAGCTGTCGGGCCAAAAGCCGCCTGTATGAGTGTCGGTGTAGCGTGCAAAAATAGCCAGTGTCTCTGCTTCGGCCATGTTTGTGTCACATACCTCAACAGGGGGCAGTGGTGCAATATATGCTCCTCCCGCCACTGGACTCGAACCGGCAGCCCTCCAGTCTCCGCCCCAGTACAAGAAGGGGGGGGAGGAGGAGGAGGCGGCAGGCGAGTGAGGCAGGGTGAAGGACAGGGAGGGGGAGAGGGGCAGCGAGCGGGGCAAGGGGGGCGTGCCGGAACCTTTCTTGAAGCCCTTTTGCTGCTGCGGCTGCTGCTGGCAAAAGGCGAGGGAGGGGGAGACGGCCAGGGAGAGAGGGTAAGGGTGAGGCGGGGTGCCGCTGGCCCGACGGCCACAGGTGTGCGGTGGACCCAGGGCGGGAGGAGGGAGGAGGGACAGCGAGAGGGATGGAGGCAGCGAGCGAGGCCGGGAACAGTGGGGGTTACTCACGGATTGTCGGAAGGGTTGAAGGGGGGCAGTGGGAGGGACCTCCATGCTGGGCTGCTTCCCGGTGGCTATGCTCTTCCGCCGGGCGCGATGATCTGCGAAAAGAAGAGGAGGTCATCGGGTAAGACGCTATTATGCGTCAGTGGAAGGAAAACATCGATGGCAATATGAGGCCAGGACACAAAAATTGCAGTGCAGGCCACAGGTAGAGCCAGAGGATGCGGACAAAGTAATGTGGAAATAAACAGCCGATATTGACATTCTGCCTGAAGGAACCGAAGAATATGAGAGCTCGATAGAGGTCAAAGGTGAGCGAGACAGAAATAAAACCATGCAAGGTCACAACCATTCACCAGCATCACTGAAGATTCTGCCGCTACACAGGAACTCTTTTGCACTTTCATCTGTTGAGAGTGTGGGGGCTGACAAAGTGGAGAGATAGATTTTCTGTCTGGTTGTCAGCTGAGGCAAATGTTAACAGTCTGAATGTTGAGGGGAGGAACCGGGAGATGCATGGGTAGAGAGCGGCGAGCATTAAACAAACAAAACACTTATTGACTTCCGTCTCTGAGTCAGTACATAATGCAGCAAATTGTCCAGTAAAGAAATAAAGTTCTGTCCTACACTTGATGGATGATGGAGAGAGTGTGGATGCACACAGAGAGGAGCAAAAACAAAACACAGGAGGCCAACTAACGGATCAAAAAAACAACAACAGAAAAAATTAAAAAAATTTACTCAAAAATTCACTGACTGAATTTTGAAGAATTGCCTTTGATCTTTGTGTCTTTCACTTTTCTCCTCCAACCAAATGCTAATTCTATCTCTGTGTCTCTGCACCATATGTCTGCACTCTCAATGGCACTTCACAGGATATAATTACATATACACAGTTTTAATTAATTGCTTTTTCCTACAAATCAATA